GCTCCCTATATGAGCTGGAGGCAGAGGACATTGTCTTCACCCTCAGGAAATGTCCAGACTGAAGGTGACTGCAGAAAAACAGATGCTGAAGTAAAGTGATTCATAAAAACGGCCAACATGAACATAGAAGTGCACTTATTACTGATTGCAGGGCTCACAGGTATAGGACTAAGGAGCAGGAGAAGAAGTGAGTGGCGGAGCCAGGTGGGGTGAATCAAGGAAGCTCTCCTAGAGGAAGTAGCAGTCCTCCCTCCTCCTGTTATGGGAGGAACGATCTACAATTCACCTCTCTCCACTGTTTTCCCGGCAGATAAATCTACCACATTCTCAGTTACCATAAAGACCGGGGAAAAGAAGAATGCAGGCACAGATGCCAATGTCTTCATCACACTCTTTGGCACACAAGATAACACCGGTAAGAAAGCAATGCAGGGTTAAGGTTCACCTACATTCCTCCCCAAGGAGACTGGAAGACTCAACAGAAGTTTCCAAAGAAGTCCTTGGCATGCCTCTGTCTCTTGACAGACTGCAGGCAACTAGCCCTATCAGAGAAAGGCAGTTCTTTTTATCCTAAAAAATCTTCTCTTCTCTGTGCCAGCTTTCTCATTCTGTTCTAATGGGAGAGCTAGGACTGACCCTAACTCCACCCCCAATGACAACTTGGGAAAAGGTGGCTCTTCCCAACTTCCAGTGAGATTCAGCCAATAGGCTCCATGGTACTCTCAATAAGAGGTGCTGAAGGAATCTTAGAGTTATTCTGGAGCCTCAGCCCAGGTACTCAGAGAAGGTGGCATTTAGTGTTGGGGCCAGCCATTCACTCACTTCACCTGTCCAGCCACTCTGTCTGAGTTTAGAGAGGAGTCAGTCCCCTCAGTAATCATTATGCATTAATTCAAAACCCTGTGGGTCCAGAGCCCTGTGTCAAGCATGACTGAAGAATGAATGGAACTAATCCTTGACCATGGGTTGCTTTTATTCTAGAACAATTGTGTGTTAGCAGAGAGCATGAACTCTGGAGCTTGACTGATTGGTTCAAATTTCCAGTCCACCATCTATCAGCTATGTGATCTTGGGCAAGTTGCTTAACCTCTCCGTGCCTTAGTTTCCAACATTTTTCAAATGGGAGTAAAACTAGTATGTGCCTCATAGAGTTGTGAGTTTAATAAAATTGAACATGTAAAATATTTGGGACAAAGTGACACTCAAACATTAATTATGGTTTTTATTTAACAGATAAGATAATAGTGTATAATGAAAGAATTAGGTCATAACATACATGTATGTGATTACCATAGTTCCTGACCCATGGGCAAAGGAATTGACAGGCCCTAACAACTCCTTTTATTTGCCAAGGGCTTTCTATGTGTTAGACACACTCTTAAGCACTCAACAGTCATCATCGTATTAAGTCCTCACAATAACCCCACAGGGAAAGCACCAAGACCATCCCCCCTTTTTTTGCCATTTGAGAAAATCGATTCTCAGAGACATTAAGTAACCTACCCAAGGCCACCCAGATGGTAAGTGGCAGAGCAAGGCACTGGCCCAAGGTCTGTCTGTCTTTCTGTGCACTGCAACCAGTCTGCAATAAGTCTATGACTATCAGAAGACTTCCTACATGAGATGGGCCCAGAGCTGGGACCTAAAGGAGTCAGACAATTAAAAGGCCATGTAGTGTGTGCTGAGGAAGGAGGGAATGGTGGTGGCTCTGAGACCAACTTAAATTCAAGGCTGACACCACAGCCAGAGTCCCAGGACAGAGGACACATGGGAGATGGCTGGTGGGAGGCATTTGAAGCCATCCCTCCTTCTGTCATCCAGAGAGGAGACTGCAGACAATTCCCATATGTCCCATCTCACAGGCAAGCCCCTTTTTCCCCAGTGAGCATGGGACGGGTGGCTTTGTCAATGGTGGAGAATCATGAGAGGTATGGAAGGAGAGCAGACACTGAGTCAGTGCTCCACCTCTTTCTCCTGGATGATCTTGGGTAAGGCCTTTCGTTAGATATAAACTGGAAATAAAAATGCATACCTCAAAGGGTCATTGTAAAACTCAAGAAAGGGACACCACCAAAAAAAGAAACTTCCAAATGTGCAAAGATGCCCAGTAAATGATAATTGCACAGTCTAAATTTCATGGAAGTTTAGGAATTTGGTCATTATGAGGAGGGACCAAAAGAGTTGGGTCAGACTAGGATTGAAAGGTCTCGGGCCCAGCCATTCACGCTGAGGTCATCTGGTTGGCAGGAATGACCCTCCTGAAGTCCTCCAAGACCAACAGTGACAAGTTTGAGAGGGACAGCATCGAAATCTTCACAGTGGAGACACTGGATCTGGGAGAACTGTGGAAAGTCAGGATCGGCCATGACAACACAGGTCTGGCTTCCCTCCCCTCTGTTATCTGCTAAGACCTTAAGGACCATGGACAGTGCCCTGTGGGCATCTGGGAAAGAAACTGGATGCCATCTGCCTTCCGTGACACAGCTTTCTCAAGCCTTTGAGCCCAGTGGAGCCCTGGTTGCACACAGAGACTCTGATCAAATTGGTCTGGAATGAGACCTGGACACTGGTGATTTCTACAGCCTTCCCCTATCCCCCAACCTCAGTAGTTTTCATATGCAGCTGTATTTGAAAACCCCTGATCCAGCTCAGTAGTTCTCTGACCTGAGTGTGCATTGGAACCATCTGGGGGTTATTAAAACACAGATTGCTAAGCCTGACCCCAGAGTCTTTGATTTAGTAGGTCTGGGCTGGGACCTGAGAATTTGCATTTCTCACAAGACTCCAGGTGAGGCTGAGGCTGCTGGTCTGGGGACCCCACTTTGAGAACCACTGATCTAGCCATCCCTTTGTGGAACCCACTGACATTGCAGCCAGACAGAGGATGTGCCCATGTTTTTTCTAAGTAAAGTAGGACTTTTTTTTCTTGGTCCTAATACCACCTCTTCTAAGCCCAAAGAAGGGACCCTCATCCTAGCACCCAGGACTGTAAGGACTGTAGGGACTGTAGGAAATGTAGAGACAGGGTTCTCTTTAAACTTCCATTTCCTTCTTTAAACTTGAGCACTCATTTTCCCAGAGAGACACATCCACTCATTTCCTCCATGCATTTCCCTTCCCTTCATCCATCACAAACTGAGCCAGGGAGTTGTGTCATCCTTGCCACTGGGTGAAATTATAAAGTCTTCGTGAGCACAGGCTCTCTTTGGCATCCCTGGGCTCCCTCTTTGGAGCCCTTTCCACCCTGGACAGCATCCTCACTTCCCTCCCTGCAGACTTTCCCTATCCACCTGCCATCTCCCGATGCTCTTTCACTCTTGCTAATTTTACTGACGGCAGCCTGGAGTGCACTCCAGCTTCATCCGGGTGCACGTTTAATAGGAATCATTTGAGCAATGCTGTCAGCAAAAGCGTGATACACTAACGGTGGAGCTGTAAGGATCAGCCATCGAGTAGGGAAAGATGTTTGGAGTCCTTGAAGTTACCCACAGGAAACACAAGTCCTTGATGGGTTCTCTGTCTCCTCTCTCTCCAGGGAAGGCACCAGGCTGGTTTGTAGACTGGGTGGAAGTGGACGCTCCATCTCTTGGAAAGTGCATGACGTTTCCCTGTGGTCGCTGGCTGGCTAAGAATGAAGACGACGGGACCATCATCAGGGACCTCTTCCCTGCAGAGCTTCAGACGAGGCTGTACACACCATGTAGGAACCACGCCCTCCTTTGGAACCCCGTTGCCTGCCACCCCAACTCTGCCCCAACTCTCCCTCCAGTACTGATTCTGGGCTAGGCCCACCTTGGAGATTTGGGTCTCTCATTTCTTTCCAAAATTTCTTGAGCTCTGTGGGGGCTGTGGACAGAGTCCTGGACCCAGGGAAAGAAAATACGGGATTTAATCCAAACTCTACTCCGAGCTAGTAGGGAGCCTAATCTCTCTAGGACTCAGTCTCCACATCTGTAAAATAGAGGTAATAATGCAGGATAGTTGTAAGATTCCAAAAAGAAGAAAGATAAGGTCTAATTGTGAAGAATCATTATCAACCCATTACTAATCCTTATTCTAGTCGTTAGTGGGCCAATGAAAACATCTCTATAAACTTTTCTCCTGATTGGGGGTGGGGAGGAGGGGGAGAATGCCAAAAGAAGGTAAATGTAATTCCTTTTACTGGCTAAAGGAAAAGAGGAAGGTGAGTAACTTGGTGAAGTTTTGACACTTCCTTTCCACTCTCGTCATCAGATAGTATACATTCAGTGTTTATATGCAGCTAAGTGTGTACTGGGTACTGAGAATCAAACTGAAATAAGCCAAACTATAAAAATTGTCTAAATTTGGTGAAATCCAAACCAAACTCAGAGCATACAATTTTCTTCTAACTAAATAATGAACTATACCAAAAGATTTCCCCCAAATAAATAAATAAATAAAGTGACATTTCCCTGGCCAGACATGTACAAAACAAACCCTCGATCCAGCCTCTGCCCCCAGGAGCCACCTACAGTCTAGAACAGACTCTGACCTGACAGATGTACACAGGTGTCAGCAGTATGGGGTGGGACCTTTGAGGATAGAGGTACCCACTGCTCTCTTTATGCCTCAGTATATGTCTTGTTCTGCACAAAAAAAAAAAAAGAAAGAAAGAAAGAAAGAAAAAAGGGATAAAAAAGTTTTGTATGCCTTGACCTTGAATATGTTCAGTTCCAGCCTGATATTAAAACTAACCCATTGACCTGTTGTCTTAAACTCACATTTGAAAAAACAAATGCAGGAAAGACTTGACTTTCAGGCTGAAGAGCTGAGATACAGCTTAGACGTGCAGCACCCTCAAGGTGGCACAGAGGAGGGGTCTGCTGCTCAGAACCTACTTCCCTGACTGGTGAAGGCCTTGGGGGACAAAAACCAGGGACCTCCAGCAAACTGGGAGCTGCAGTCCCAGGAATAGTGGGAATCAGTGCCCAGCTGTCCTTATCAGGGCACTAGAAAGAATCTCAGAACCTAGATTTGACAGTTCATCAGGCTGCCCAATACACGTGAAACCATAAAGAACAGACTCAGGAGAGCTGGTCAAGGAGCGTCTGAAATGTGCTGCCCACACAGGAGGCGCGTATGGGTTAGGAAGGGCTCCGTGGGATAGGCGGGGCACAGCATAGCACTCTGGATGTCAGAATCATGCCGCGTTAGGGCTGGGAGAAGCCCTGGTATGTGAAGGAGGTGTCTCAGGGCAGCTGGTGGATGGAGCAGAAAGGCTGAGAGAGGAAAGCCTCCCACCCAATTGATGCCATTCAGAGCAGCTCCTCAGCTTGAAAAAGTCACATTTTTTTCCAAACATTCTTGATAAATGAATTTACAGGAATTCCACATTTAAACAAACTGAAAACCACAGATCTAGCTTAAGATCCTCATTTTACAGGTGAGAAAACTGAGGCCCAGAGAAGTATTATCATTTGCCCAAAGACATACGGCTACCCAATAGCAGAAGCAGAACTAGAACCTGGGACCAAGCCTGGGCCTAGGCCTGGAGGAATGAGGGCTGAAGGGCGGGCCGGAAATGTCCAGGGCTTCTCCTGCCAGCTCGTCTCAGGAAAGCTCAGACCCTGTTGCCAGCTTTTCTGCTCAAAGCCTCCCAGGTCTTAGACCAGGGAGAAACCCAAGAGGACTCAAAGGAAAGGACTCCATGCTGTAGAGACGTGCCTCTGATATTGCTTGAGGGCCTGGCTGGATTGAGGCTGTGTTCCCCTTCAACCCACAAGTGAGGGCCCACTTAAGCCATTGTGGGGCTGGTAGTCACCTCCATGGGCTACCCCTATGGCCTGGTGGCTTGTGGGTAGGCAGCAGGGCTTACCTCCAGTTCACCATGACAACACCCCTAGAGGCTGATCACACAGCCTTTGAGGTTAGACAAGGGTTCAAGTTCAAGTTTCATCACGTAACCTTCGGCAAGTTACCTGACCTCTCTGAACCTTAGTTTTCTCATCTGTGAAATGGGTATAATAATACCTACTTTATCAGGTCATTGTGGGTATTAAAGGAAATAAGGACTATAGAGAGCTTAGTACAGAGTCTGGCATATGGTAAGTACTCAATCAGTAATGACTATTACTACTACAACAATTCCTACTACAGTTCTACAGTGAAGTACCCATGACAATAAATGAAAAGCAAATTCTTCATCTGGAGAAGGTTGGGGCCACCTGAGAGAAGGTCACTTCTAATGTGACTCCTTTCAAGGGTCGAGATTCCACTGGAACTCTTTCTTCTGGGTTTTCGGTCTTCTTTTTTTTTTTTTTTAACTGTGACCCATATTCATATACATTTCCAACAAACAAGTGTCACAAAAAAGTTACCCTCACTATGTGTGATATACAGTAATATTTTCTATTCGATTCTATTCGGTTCCATATATTTTAAAAAATACTAGTGACAGCCCACTAAGCTGATTTAACAACGCTTTAATGAACGAACCTGCTAACGAACTAACCTATAGATAACAATGCATTGTTTTAGACTACTGGTCTCAGGCTTCAGTGTAAAGTGTGAGTTAAATATTTAGATGCCTAGATCCACCCTGCAGAGAATCTGAGAAGGGGTTTGAGAATCTGCATTTTTAACAAGCATCCCAAAAGCTATGAAGCAAAGGGTCTTCATTCGATGCATGGAGAAATAATGTTCTCTACTCCTGATGGAGGCCACCCACTGGGACAGCATTGATGGGTCAACTCTCATTCAAGGACAGATAGTCCCTCGTGCAACTGAGTAAACTCTGGCTCAGCTCTCACCTGCACCTATCTCCTCCCTTATGGAAGACCCCTATAAAGTGAAGGAACTGAGTGAGGCAGCCGGTGTGGCATGGGTGGATTTGCGTCAGGCCAGCTTGGAGTGAGTGAGGGGCTGGAAGCAGAGGATGGTGAGAAAAGAGACAGGATTCTCACCACTGCAGATAGGCTGATTCCAATGGTGAGTTGTCCACTGAAATCTAATGCTCCTGTTTGTAGAATATCTTCAGATAAGCAACATGTCAAGGGCACTTTACAGATAATGGAAACTGAGGCTTGTAAGTAACTTTCCCAGGTCATGCAGATAGTTGAGTTACAGCCTGGGCTTGTTGAATTCAAAAGCCTGTGCTTTCAACCAATCCGCTTTACTAGCTCTGTGATGTGAAAGGCTCGAAGACCCAGGTCTGAAGGGACTGGGGCCTTCCATGGGCGATTGGCATGACAGGCCTCCCACCTGTGGTTGCTAGGCAACCATATGAAGGTCTAAGTCCCTGGGCAGCAGCTCCCCAGTGAAAGGGTCTGGGCAGGTGGTACTGTGAAGAATTTTATCTCAGCCATGTTTCTTTTCTGTTCTTTCATCCCCTCTGGCTTTGCCCTCTGGCCATCACCATCAGTCGTCCCTTATGAGATCACCCTCTACACCAGTGATGTTTTTGCTGCTGGGACAGATGCCAACATCTTCATTGTCATCTACGGCTGCGATGCTGTGTGCACCCAGCAGAAGTACCTGTGCACCAACAAAAGGGAGCAGAAGGTGTTCTTTGAGAGGAAATCTGCTTCCCGCTTCATTGTGGAGGTACCTGGCTCAGCAGGCTGTCCCAGATTGGGGTGGGCCAGAGAGACGGCAGGGAAAGGAGCCCTGCATTCAGGGCAGTACACACACCCTTCTTGATGGGCTGGTATTAGTGAGGAAGAAACGCAGCTCATCTAATCTCTCTGGGCCTCAGTACATCCAACTAACCAGGAGGATGTGAAGCTTACCCTGCCCCTCCAGGACTGGTGTCAAGGTCAAAAGCACTAATGGATAGAGGACTTGGGAAAGCTAGAGGCACAGTGCCAGTGGGGCATCTCTGCCGCTTGGAACAACAGCAGACACCTATCCACAGGTGCAGCATGGCTTCCAGACTTGCTGGCTCTGGGGTGCCGGGGCGGATAGGGATCCCACCACCAGTGATCAAGTAGGGATAGGGTCTCCTATTCAGCTCTCAAGCTATGGCCAAACAAGTCAATACAGGAAAACATCCTGTGTAATCCACAGCTCCCCCATTAGGTTTCCACAATGGGGGTTTATTGTTAGATGTTTACTATGGATGAAGGTCACAGCACCATGAAATCCCATACACTTCAATTCAATGTACACTCTCTGTGCCTGCCCTGGGTGCCCAGCTGTGTGCTAGGTTGGGAGGGAGACACAAGAGAAGGGGAGTGCCCAGAACCTGCCTGTGAGGGGGTTGCAGTCTAGATGGGGACCCCAGGCCTTCACACAAAGCTGACGGAAGAGTCTGGTGATCATCATCATAACTGACCTTATGGGACAGAGGGCACTGTCCTAAAGGATTTATCTGTATTAACTCACAACCCTCACAACAACTCTGTGCTGTAATTATCTCTGTGCAAAGATGGGGAAACTGAGGCACAGAGCATTTAGTAGCTTACCTAAAACCACACAGCTAGGATGTAGTGGAAACAGCACTTAAACCCAGGAAGATTGTCTCCAGAATATGGGCTCTTAGCTATTGCAGTAGACTAGAAAGCAAACTAAGCTTGCCCTATAGGTGATGGAGAAGGCGGAGGCTCCCTGGAAGAGGTGGCTTTGAAGGGGACCTGAAAGTGGGCACAAGCAGGGACGGGGAGGAAAAGTATTCCTAGCAAGGAGAACAGCATAGCCAAGGGCCCAACAGTGGAAAGAAGCACAGCGTGTGCTTTGAGATTTGGCTAGAATGCCAGGAGGAGCTGCGGTGACTTGGGCAGAGGCAGGGATGAGCCAGGGTGCGGAGGGGAAGCACAGGAGACCCTGAAGGAGAAGAGCCAGGAGCCCTGGGAGCCTGGACTCTCCAGGTAGCGGGCCCCTTAGTCTGTGGTGGGGAACAAACTCCAGAGCACCTTCCTTCTTCCTTGGGCAGCCTCTGTCCCAGGGGACCCCCTGTTCCCTCCCCACCTTCTCTAGGAACAGTCAGCACCTGTGGGAAGGTCTACCATCTTTGTTGTCTTTTAACACAGAAAATTCAAGGGTGATTCATTCATCCACACAAAGCTAACATCTCATCCACCCAATGTTGTGGTGCCTGAGTCACCCAAGCCTGATGCCGTCAGTAGCTGAGGCTGTGATTACGCCTCAGCACGACTTCCAGGGTGTTTTATCAATGAAGTCCCCACTAATATACAGCTATAATTTGCTGGTAATTTGTTGCTATTTTTTTCTTTTTTTTTTTTTCAAATCCATCTGGGTCTTAGGGGAGCATGAAAGCTTGGAAACGATGAAAAAGCTTTGTCTGCTGGCCTCTGTCCCTCCATCTTCCTGCATCCCTGCTTCTCCTCTTCTCTTTTCCAATTGATCTTCAGGTAACAGGTAGAGCACTGGATTGTGAATCCATAACCCTGGGTTCTAACTCTGGCTCAGAAGCTAACTCCTGAGCAAGCCACTTCTCTCTCTGTGGCCCTGTCCTAAGACAAAGGTGTTGGCCAGGAAAAGAGCAATGACAGCTAAGAATCACTGAGCATGTCCTTTGTGCCAGCCCTTCTCTAAGCACTTGATGTGTGTCAACTCATTTAATCCTTATCGCATTTCCGAGAGGGAGGCAGCATGATTACCCCATTTCATAGATGAGGAAATGGAGCACAGGAAGGTTAAGTAATTTAGTCAAAGGGTCATAAAAACAGCAGATCTGGGATCTGGACTCAAGCTGTTCAGTTCCAGAATCTTTTCTGCTTAATTCTTTCACCTCCCAGGAGAACACCAGATCCTTCTGATGCTGACATCCTGAATCTATCTCTGAGGCCCACCCCATAACCAGCAGTCCCCTAAAGACCATACCATGACTAGCAGTTCCCTAAAGGCCTCCTGGCTCTCTGAGGGGTCAGGGCTGAGATGCCCACCTCACACATGCAAATGAGTGGCTGGAGGATTAGGGTCACAGAAGTGCCATTGAAACCAAGACCCACACAACTTGAATCTCAAAGATCTGAGATGGGCAAGAAGAAAAACATGTCTCTGGACAGAGGGAAAGAAAGGCAACTCCTCCCTCCCTGGTTCTGCCAGGCAGACTGGGTCCTCAAGTGGAGATCCTTCAGACCAAGGATTTTACCAGTGGCTTCCGGCTTCTCCAGGGGTGAAAGAATAAGCCTCATTAATAATGTACAAGGCACCAACGTCAGCCTGGAATCACTGATCTTTGTTTAATGATTCAGAGCCCTCAGGGGCTCACAAGACCTCCAAAGGGCCATCGTGGACCTGGACTCTCACTTCTCTGATGCTGTGTGGGCAGCTGACCAGTAGGGAGTTGGGAAGGGTCCTGCATGGTAGCAGCATCAACAGCAGCTGTCACCTCCTTGCTAATGCACGGGGTTCACAGCAATGTAGTGCTCTGCCGGTCACTTAGAAAAGAAAACACTTGGCAAAAAGAACCATGTCTGTGATCTTAGGCCTAGAAGAGGCCTCAACAACTTACCCTGTCCTTGCCCCTGCCTTCAGCTGAGTAAAACACCATTCTCTCCATTTTATAAATGAGGAAGTTAAGGCTTGGAGGGTCAAGTGACCTGGAGGGTCAAGTGACCTTCTAGCAGGTGGCAGAGCCAGGGCTAGAATTGGAAAGAATGCAGGTAGGGCTCGGGGGAGGGGGTTCCCCAAGCAGTGCTAATGGGCACCCCTTGGCTGCCAACAGTGGGTGGTGGTGTGGGGAGGAAGGAAGCAGTGGTTGCAGGCTGCTCTGGTTCATTCAGAGGTCGCTTTGCATCCAATGAATGACTCAATCAGTCATTCAGACACCATTCACTCATCAAGAGCTCTCCATTCACACCGGAGCTGACTAAGCCACCTCCGCATGGCACCTGAGAGCTGGATGGAGTGGTTTGGGCAGCCAGCTTCACAGAAGGGCCGCCAAGAAACTCAAGTGTGCAGACACCCCCACCCCAACCCCCAACTGTCATACCAAACCTCATAGCATGAACTCTGTGGGCCTGTTACCAGCAGCCAGGCTCGGCTTGCCCTCTCACACTAACCAAATGACTAGGAAGTCCAAAAGTTGGTGCAAGGACTGGAAGCTTTATTCAAATAACTGGCATCTGGGAGATGACCAGGCTAAAGTCATCCCACCTTCTGATGCCTGTTCTGGGGTTTATAAAGGAGAAGATATGGGAAGGTGAATTAAGGGTTTTGTCCTGCAGAAAAGGGGGGGGGGTGGTCACAGGATTAGCAGAGGGTCTGAGTCCGATGTCAGGGTTCTATGATGGACTGGATGCTTTGACGTCATGGAGTCTGCAGTTGGTGGACTGGCCAGCTTTAAGGATGTTATTTCAGGGTCGGAGTCCTTATTTCCTAGGGAGATCTCAAAGACAATAACCTCAGTCAGGCATCACTGGAACATAAAAATACCTGAGTTGTACCTGTAACTAACGTGGATGCAATTTTCTTTTAAGCAAGAAGGTGAGTTAATAATCAGCTAGGGTGCTTTGCCTTTTCTTGGATTTCCTCTGTTTGCAGTTAATTAGGGAGGTAAGAAAAAAAATAGTTTCAATTCTTAATTGTAGGTGCACAACATCTATAGTAAATCAGCATAAGAGGGTGTAATGGGAGACAGACAGAAACAAACTTTTGAGAAAGGTACTTTTGGGGCATGATTTCATCTCTGGGCAGTTTCAGCCATGTGGTCAGTTTCTTATTTCCTCTACTAATCTCAGGAACTGATGATTAGCCGTTCCCAAGTCAATGGCTAACTGATATTTTCTGCTTGGTCTTAGTTACCCCAAAGATGGCCGTTCTCTGGCTAAGGTCCCTTTCAGGCTGACCATGAGCCAGGGCATCATTGTATCTCCTTGCCCTTCTTTCTTCTTTGCCCTACCTCCTTCATCTATTTCTTATCCTGCTATTGCCCCAGATCCTCTTCGGGACAAGGCAGGATGTGGATCAGTGTGCAGAACATGATTTCAGAAGAGAATGTGGCGCACAAGAACCAGGAGAGGCCCACGAGGATCCTGGAGGCTCTGGGGAGGGGGCTGGCGGGATGATAGAAGGCGGCCTGGCAGGGAGAGAGCTGGCACCTGTGTGCCAAGCTGAGTGGATGGCCGTGCCTTGTGCCTGGCTGCTTCCCTTCTTCCTTAGAGGGGCTCCAAGGGGTCAGGCAATCAGTCAGGCCTGACCGAGCTTCTTGTCTGCACCCCGTGCCCGCAGAGGACAGAAGAGGTTTCAGCCCACCCCCCACCCCCCAGTCCAGGGGCTCACCATGGCACACACATGTCAGCTTTTCCATCCAAAGGGATTTTCACACGTACCGTCATGGTTAGGGTTCACCACCGCGTTATGGGAGGACCTGCTGATGTAACATACCCATCTTGCAGATGAGGAAACACTCATTCTTTCATCCTTTCGATCAGTACTTGTTGAGTATCTAGGTCACGGGCACTGGTCCAGGCCTTGGGGATACAATGGTGAGCAGAGGATGCCTGCCACTGTGGCTTTGGAGGACCTGCTGATGTAACATACCCATCTTGCAGATGAGGAAACACTCATTCTTTCATCCTTTCGATCAGTACTTGTTGAGTATCTAGGTCATGGGCACTGGTCCAGGCCTTGGGGATACAATGGTGAGCAGAGGATGCCTGCCACTGTGGCTTNTTGAGCTAAGAAGGCATTAGATTAGTTAAGAGGAGGAAAGGGGAGAGGCCAGCAGAGCATGGGCAAAGGCCCTGTGGCAAGAGCACGTCAAGTCTAAGGACTGGAATTTATGGAAGCATAGAAAAAGAGTGGCTAGAAAGGGAGGAGTTCTTGGGGCCAAGGTGCGTGAACAAGGTCAGCCTGGCAAGGCAGGAGCATGGACAAAACTCTTCTTCCAGTGATCAGGTGAGTTCTCAAACAGGGAATGAGCTGCTATGACAGCAAGTAATGGAAGACAGGGGCTGGGCTCCCCCTTGAAGCATGGGACCACCTCCTAGAGAAGGTGGATTGAACTGAGTTCTGGAGTCTGGGCTGATCTTAGGCGGGGAGAGGGAACGTGAAGCATAAGCATGGCCTGTGTAGAGAGGAGTGGGGGCTTCCTGGCTGGACAGAGGGGAGATGACCCCTGGAGTTCAAAGGGGCTTAAGGGAAGGTGCCCTGGGAAGGCAGGATGTCACTGAAATTGTACTTTCCTAGATGTTTCGACTAACGTCTGGTGGCTTTTCTCATCTCCAAAGTTAGAAGATGTGGGAGAAGTCATTGAGAAAATCCGGATTGGCCATGATAACACAGGCATGAATCCTGGGTGGCACTGCTCTTACGTGGACATCCGCAGGCTCCTCCCAGATAAAGACGTGAGTGTTTGACTGGTCTGTCCTGCTGTTTCTTTCGCCCCTTTCCAGAACAGATTCAAGGCCTTGTAAGAACCTGCTGGCTACTTCAGCCTTACTGAGATGAAACCTCCTGAGGAAAGGTCACCCCGTTCACTCAGAGTGAAGGAACTAGCTCAGATCCATGGCACAATCTTCTAGAACCTGGTTTAATGGTCAAGGAGCAAGGTCTGGCAACCATGTCTCTGTTCCCCACCCTCAAGTCCATACTACTTGTGAGTGACCAGCAAGCCCTTCCTGCTACTCAAGCTCAGCTCACACAAGAAAATTCACCCCAAGGGCCGGCCCCGTGGCTCACTCAGGAGAGTCCAGCACTGGCAGCACGGAGGCCGCGGGTTCGGATCCTATATAGGGATGGCCGGTGCACTCACTGGCTGAGTGTGGTGCGGAGGACACCAAGCCGAGGGTTGCCATCCCCTTGCCAGTAAAAAAGAAAAAAAAAAGAGAAAATTCACCCCAAACAACTTGGAAAACATTCTGAAACCACAAAATTCTAAACCTAGGAGATAGCTCTCAGTCATGGCTGTGGCTATGAATGACTTGGGAGCAATTTAAAAGTATAGAGCCCCCTCCCCTTAACCACTGAATCTGAGTCTCTGGGATTGGGTTCAGATATGTATTTTTAAGTGACCCCGGGAACCCCAGCCTTCAAAAGCTAGCCTTGATGTGGTTGTACAAGTCTTTAAGTAAGACTGGATCTACTGAAATTGGGGCAGGGGCAAGGAGGCTCCCCATGCATACTGACATGTGATGAACTCCTGAAGTTGGCAGCTTCCACATTAAGGACTAATTTTACTCTTTCCTCCTCACCCCAGGGTACAGAGACCTTGACTTTCCCATGCGATCGGTGGCTCGCCACCTCCGAGGATGACAAGAAGACCATTCGAGAACTGGTCCCTTATGACATCTTCACTGAGAAATACATGAAAGATGGGTCTTTAAGACAAGTCTACAAGGAAGTGGAGGAGCCCCTGGACAGTAAGTGTGCTCTGGTCACCCTCAGTATCATCGGCAGCTCCAGGACCATGGCTCTCCCTTGGAGAGCACATTCCCTGTGCCAGACGGAGCCTTTTCACAGTAGGAGGAGGGTCTATTGTTATCTCCGTTCTGTAGAGGGGACAACTAAAGCTTATAGAGACACACAACCTGCCCAAGCTCACACAGCTAATGAATGGCAGAGGTTTGTGCTCAGATCCTTTCCTGGTCCGACATTGTGATAATACACCCATATATGGGGTATCCCATGCCTGAATTATCCTGGCCCTTATTTTCTCCCTACTCTGTCCATTTGGCTACCAATCTCCGTGGCTTAGTCCTCTGCTCTTGCTGGATCTGGCTGTCCCTACTTAGCACGAATCAAGAAACATCCTGGATTAATATGCAACAGGAGTTGTTGTGTATCTGTTCTCAGTGGCGGGGTGCAGCTTCAGAGTGCCCAAGGTCATGCGTTCGTTTTGTGTATGGGCCAGTTACCTTTGTCCATTCTTCATCGATGTGATTTTCTCTGTAAGATTTGCATCAGCCTGACCATCCACTTCCTGTACTTCCTCCTCCTTTGCTTTGGTGACACCACCAAATAGTCCACGGAGCACTGGTGTCCTTTCTCATGCCAGGTAGTGTTTGTCAAGGCTTGGTCCTCAGCCTCCTTGTCTCCCTCTTTCTACATTGTATAAGTGCACATGTGTGTGTGCATGCGCACATTCTTCCGGGAACACATGGACAGTCACGCCTCTGTTTTGATCAGCGTTGGCATTGTCCCTGTCTGTCCCCATGTTATTCATCAGCCATTCAGCTCTGAATAATCATTAGCTATTTCAAAAATCAAATTCACTTGCAAAACACAGACTTTTTACCATTGATGATATACAAAAGAATACTATGGGTCTCTCCAGCAGGGCAGTCTCCAACAGAGAAGCTCCAGATGCTTGGAAATACAGTTTAAATGTGTCGTGTTGCCTTCTCAAAAAAGCTGGAGTAAAACCCAAGATTCCAGGTCCCATAAGGAGCCAGGGAAACAGGTCTTTCTGCCCACCAAGCTGATAAGACAGTCAAAAAATAAAAGACAAACGTTGTTTTCCCTTTTTATCACTGGAAGTAAAATGGCTATAGCTCTAACATTCCTTTAATCTGGTTTCCACTCACTTAGAAATAAAAAGAAGTGTTCCCTCAATAGCATGTCTTTCCCTACTCATATTTCTTTTTCTACATTTTCCCCACTATTAAATCTGGGAGGGTAAATTCCTTTCGTACTTGGACCCCAGAGGACACCCTGGAAAGCTGTCCCAGTGGCACACTTGGGCTATTCTGTATGAATAGCATGCCATGAAACCCACTCGGAGCTCAGCGATGTTTCTAGGGAAACATCTTTCCACTGATGAGCTGTGTGGCCTGGGTGGGATGGGGAGGGAGGAGGTTCCAGAAATAGCTGAATCTGACTGTATAAGTGCATTGCTCAGCACCCAGAAGCTGAATCAGTTTGCCTAATTGCAAAGGGCTAGAGAAAGCAGTGGGTGTGGGGGGGAGTAGGAAGGTCATTTCATCACAGCCACTAGTGACACAGCATCCCATGCAGGATGAGGGCTCCTAGAAAGGCTATCCTAACAAGCCCGCCCCACTTGCAGTTACTTCAGGTGTGGCGCAGGCCTGAATGCACACCTAGGAAGTGGATGGTAGGGAAAAATGAAGGGCTAAGACAGTCGACTGTTGAGTGTAAACTGTGACAAGATTCCTAATGTTACCTCATGTCAGTATTAGCGAGACAGGCTTGAGTTGACTCTTTTAAGCAACAAAGAGAGATTTTATTTAGTAATGTAGCACATGAAATGCTGAGTGGATTCTGCACTAAGCTGAGTGGGAGTGGGGGCAGTGTGATTAGTCCCTGGTTTCTGCCCGTGGTGGGAGGCAGGCCTCTGCTGATCAATTCTTCCAATGCACCAGGGAGCTTTAGAGAGCAGGGGGTTGGGTGGGGCCACCAAGGCACGGAAGATGGGTGCAGAGAGGGTTTGGAAAGGGGGTGCAAGATGGGGGTGAATTCAGGGTTGGATGTGTGAGTTAGTGATGTTTTGACCAGCAATGGCATTGTCCATGTCAGTGTGCATGTTATTCATCAGCTATTCGGCCAAGGTGGAGATTTCCGGTAGGAGGGAATTGGGCTGGAGATACAGTCTTGGAAAACTCAAGGAAGTCAACACCAGGATGTGCAAAATGAGGGCTGAGGAATGTGGATGGAACCCAGGAGACCCTGGTGTCCAAGAGGTGGGCAGAAGAGTAGAAGCTCATAAAGCTACTTAAGAGGGAGCATGCAGAGAGGCTGATGGAGAGAATAGTGCTCAAAATCCAAGGAAAATAAGAAAACACTAGGAACCATGTTGTGGGTGTGAGTGTATTCCATAATCAGGGGTATGAGCAACTCACATTACCTTAT